TTGTCTGGGCCATAGGGTGGAGGAATGCATAGAATCACAGTGCCTGGCAAAACCATTAACAAGTAATGAAGTTTTTTATTATTTTTCTATGTTTGTAATCGAAAAAAAGTAAACTGCCTGTTGCACCAGGCACAGCCAAAGTGTGGTGCCACACTTACCCCCACTAAACTCTTCCCATACCCCTGGGGGTATGCGTACCACACTTTGGGAAATATTGGTCTAATCCAATGTTTCCTGAAGTTGCTCCTACAGACCTCTGGGGTCCTTAAAACTGCTGATGTGGTCCATGGCAAATTAAAATTAATTTTGGTATGCATGAAGAATGTCAGGGGGGTCCACGAGAGGTTTAATAAAAAGTAAAATGATTGTGACCCATTTTCATTATTACGAAAGTTAAAAATAAATAGTAATAAATAAATTGGTAGTCATTTTTAAGTCCTAACATAAATGTTTGTTCTGTGATTAAAGTTATTGCTGGAAAAGTATGAATGGTGTGATTTTTTTTTGATTTTATTGTCAAATCTCAGATTGTTTATCCAAAAAAATTGTTAATTAAAAAATGGGCACGATTCTTAAATTATGTAAAGCATTCAAAGAAATTAACATATTTTAAAAATTATATAGAACAATAAGTTAACAATTTGAGTTTCTGAATACTTTAAATTTCTTTGCATATATGTAAAATTTTAAATAGTAAACTTTCAAATAAATATTTCTCAAAAAAATATGTCTTTAGAGCATTTTTTATTAAACTGTCAGAGCTACACCTAATTCACCTATTTTTGATTGTCTTAGGTGCAGTCTTGCCTCAATGTTCAGTAGGTGTTTTATTCCAATTACAAACAACAGCTTTTTCTTTGTTCTTTTTTAAGATTAGATTGCTGTTGACCCAATGTTAAAATTGTTCACAATTTTTTGCCAGCTTACATCTTTATCCAGTTGTCTGATGATTTCTATTTTCACAGTTACATTCAGTTCCAAACATTTTCTTTACACGCCTTTTCCATTTATCCCACATTCATTTTCTACTTTTTGCATGATTAATTTATGTTGTATAAATGGTAGCATCACCATTAAGCAGAATCTGACAATTGCTGTTGATGACTAGTAGTGCAAAAAGTTTGGTTTTGAGAAAAATTATGTTTCCTAGAAATTGGATTGGTAACGCTGAGTACCTCAAGTCAAAAAAAAAAAATTGCATATACTTTAATAACAATCAAAATATATTTTTTTTTTCCCTTTTTACTACATAAAAAAAATAATAATAAACAAAAAATTATATTTATTCATAATAAATATAAATAAAAGTTATATTATAAATAACATTTATTAGGATCAATGAGAAGGATGAAATTGTTTATGGTGAGATGACAGTTCATCATAATTTGGTTCCTAGATATAGCGATATGGACTTTAGGTCTCATTTAGGTCTTTCTAGAAGCATTGTCGAAGTAAGTCTCTGCTAAGAATTGTTAGTTGTAATAACTATCTACAGAAAAATTGCTTTATTCAACATTTTTAGCTTTTTATTAATACTAAAGCACATAACAAACCTTTCCTATTAGAAAAATCGCACAAAAGCTAAAAATACACACGTGCACACTGTAACAGTTCAATGTGTAGATACTGGAGGTTTCTGTATGACACTATTGTCTGGGCCATAGGGTGGAGGAATGCATAGAATCACAGTGCCTGGCAAAACCATTAACAAGTAATGAAGTTTTTTATTATTTTTCTATGTTTGTAATCGAAAAAAAGTAAACTGCCTGTTGCACCAGGCACAGCCAAAGTGTGGTGCCACACTTACCCCCACTAAACTCTTCCCATACCCCTGGGGGTATGCGTACCACACTTTGGGAAATATTGGTCTAATCCAATGTTTCCTGAAGTTGCTCCTACAGACCTCTGGGGTCCTTAAAACTGCTGATGTGGTCCATGGCAAATTAAAATTAATTTTGGTATGCATGAAGAATGTCAGGGGGGTCCACGAGAGGTTTAATAAAAAGTAAAATGATTGTGACCCATTTTCATTATTACGAAAGTTAAAAATAAATAGTAATAAATAAATTGGTAGTCATTTTTAAGTCCTAACATAAATGTTTGTTCTGTGATTAAAGTTATTGCTGGAAAAGTATGAATGGTGTGATTTTTTTTTGATTTTATTGTCAAATCTCAGATTGTTTATCCAAAAAAATTGTTAATTAAAAAACGGGCACGCTTTAGCTAGTAATTTCAATAAATATTACTTTAAATATCAAAATTGTTATATTTATATTTTATTTTTATGTTACCAATCACCATTCCAGTGATAAATTTGTATTTGCTATTATATAGTTGTGTACAGTTATTTCACTGAGGTTCATGGTCAAGTTTTTGCTATGAGAAGGGGTCCATGGGCATAATAAGTTTGGGGACCATTGGTCTAATCAATTACAATTACTGATTTTGCTAAATAAATGATATCTGGAGTGATTTGAGAATAACACAAGTGACTGAAGATCAACTTGCAAATGATTGGCACTACTGTAGAGGGAAGCATTTTATGGACACTGCTATGCAGACTTCATGAGGAATAAATTCCTGTTAAAAAATTATGAATATCAGATAATGTTTTTAAGTCCAATCTTGAAAAATATTTGCACAATGTTCAACAATTGTGGCATAAATATGATCATTGAGAAAAATGACTTTTCTCAATCACATTGCTCGATCCCTCAATAAACCTTCTGACATATAGCAATGTACTGTACCTTACATGACCACACCCTTCACCTTTGCTTCAATTTCCATTCAGAGTTTTCAGTGCACCACGTGTCCAAACAAATTCTGATTTGTGAAATACTAGATGCTGGATTATCATCAAACAATTTTGGATTAATGACTACTTTTCAGAGAATGAAGGTTTAACAGACATTCTGGATTATCAGATGCTAAATTAACAAACTTTATTGTATTTATGGATTAGTGACCCTAAATGGTACCAGTCAAAAAACAAACTACATACTTTGGCTTGCCAAATTAAAATCAATAACAGCTATTAGAAAGTATGATGTGTTTGCCATAATGTAAAGCATACTTTCTTCTAACAGCCATTATTGACTTTATTCTGCAAGCAAGAGCATATAGAGCTTACCTTCTCTTCAGTTATCATCATTTTTAGAGTTATTAACAGGAGATGCAAATAAAATAAGTTAGTTCTAAATGATAAAATTATTATATAAAAATTTTAAAATTTAGACTCAATTATTTACTGCACAGTTTTGACATTTGTGCATTTTTAGTTATTTTTTAAATAACAATAAGACAATGAGAAACTAAAGAACAAAACTGCACATAGACTTTTTGATCATCCTGTATAATTTTGTTATACTATAATTTAATGCAAATTAACTGCAGCTTATCTGTGTTTAAAGGAAATTTAAACACAGAAAGGCAATAATGTCCTCTTGTGATGTAACTTTCATTTCTCTGACAAGGTTCAAAATTATTCTCAGAATACAGTTTGTTATGTTGTGTGATGACTGTTATACTTGGAGGTAATTTGGTTATCTGTCTGTAAGTGCAATCTTAACTTTCCACTTTATTCAGGTTAAGTTACATTCTTTGTACTCAGAAAACTCTTCCATTTCTGCATTGAACAGGTTTTTGACATATAATAAAATTTAACATAGGAAAAAAAAAATACACTTTCTAAAGGATTTTTCCATTTAGACAGGTTTCCATTTTAGAACCTGAATAAAATGGAAAAAATTTGAACAGGTTTTGCTGTATTAAATTTATTTTCTGTATGTCAGACAATTCACTTTTAGAATGAAGAGTCAAAACAATTTCTTTAACTGTATTTTAAACAAAACATAAATTTCCTATTAAAAACAATAAGAATTTAAATATATTACCTGTTACTTAATTTATTTTCTCGTGTTTGAACTACTTTTAATGGTTTATTTATCTTGGGCCACATAGATGCTACACAAAAATTATAAATAACATTTAATAAAATAATTATTTTTGTAATGAATTTCAAGAGTAATTATTACCAGGTGGTGGTGGTTTCTTTTGATTATTCCAAACAACAAGAACTTTAGATAAACTGGGGGCTTGGACTACTTTCAAAATAACTTGAAACAGGCTTTCTAACCTGTCATATGTTAATATAACAGCTGTAAAACCTTGAGACTTTGGTGCAATAACAGGTAGAAACAGAGGAGCAGAAACACCAAACTGTAAAAAGAAATTTGATCTTAAATGTAACAAGTAAATTATCAGAATAAATAAAATCATTGTTTACAAGGTCAGAAAGATTAATATTTCAATATTAATTAAATCAAAAAGTTTAAATTTATGAACTATAGCTTTTAAGAATTCCACAGACAATCAAATTAATAAATTATGTAGTAATACATTACTTTGCTTAAAAATTAATTTAAATTTAGGAGAAGTTATATCATTTGATTTTTATTTTGTTGCTGATAAATAATCTATTCTATTGAATAATAGGTTAATAAACAAATTTTAAATTAAATGATACATTATGAGAAATACAAAAAAAATATAAGTTTCATAGAAAAAATTATGCATTGATTTACATTTTAATACATCAGTTTATCAGATGCTAAAGATTTATTCAATTAAAGTATTATTAAGTTATGTAAATTTGTTCAGATGTTTTAATTTAAAAAAAAAGTAAGATAATGCTCATGTATCTTAAATAAAAAAACATCTCTAATTATTTTTGCACTATTTTCTTCCATATCTGTTACCATCTTTTGGATACTTTGCAAATTCCATTAATGTAAACATTTTTCTTTGTCTGTCAAAAATGCATCATCAAAATCCAAATAAATATTTTAGATACATTTTCAAATAGGAAATATTTTTCTACTCAAACTATTAGAAGTTAAACCAATGGTGTTCCAAAATAATATCTTCATATTTATTACTATAAAAAAATTATTTTGTATATACAGTAAAACATGTGTAAAGTGGAATCACACTAGTACCAAATACTTTTTTCAGTTTGGTAGGTTTCCATTTTAAACAAGTATTTTTTTAACATAAAAAAATCACTCCATTCCAAAGAATTAATTCCATTCTATTCAGGTTTTACTGTAGTAAATCCTAAAATATTAAAATTAAAATATTCAATTTTATTAATTTTAAATTATAATTTTTGCTGTTGTTATTTATTTAAAAATTTTATTTAAAATGTAAAAAAATATTCTATCTGTATGTTCAATGCTAAAGATTGCCTAAACTACCTTGAAAATGGTTTGTGGCTAAATTATTTTTTGGTAAAAATGTAGTAGTGTTTTTTGAATTAATTAATATATTATAAAGACAAGTTTTGAATTATTTTAAATATAATTTTTCATTTCAACAAAAACCTTAACTTTTTGTTGAAATGAAAAACTGTATTTTCAGATTGCTTAATCTATGTTTTCAGTTTCTCTGTTGTTTTTATTTGTTATGATTGCAAAGTTTGACTATTAAAATTAACATGAATCATAAAAATAATGTACCTTTCTAGGAAAATCATTNTAGTCGAACGGTACACACTCGGTAAGTAATCCTATAATTTTTTGTTTATAGCATAGTTTATACAGATTATTCCCAAAAAATTATACGTATTTTGGAAATGTTGAGTGGAATTAGTCTAGAATCGGTTAATTTTATAGAAGAAAACCTTTCGAACAGCCTTAGTCCGTGAAGTTCCCACCTATCGGGCTGCGATTAGCTCATGTATTTAATCGTTCCTACAACGTAATTTTCGGTTAGCGTGGAACGTATCTAAGCGTTATAGGGGGGTCTACTGTACAAACAAAAACTTAAGTGTAACAAAAAAAATTGACAAGATGGAATTTTTCTGGTATTTTTTCATTTTTACCATGTTGAAATCTATAAGAAAACGTATAAAAATCCTATGCAGTTTTTTACTTGCAGGCCTGTGTAATCAGTTATCCGAACAATCCTAGTCTCCAATTGATTTGGATAAATGACGCTCTACTGTAATTAATGTAGATTTAAATAAAAATAATACAAACTAATGTATTCAACTATTTTTTGAATACATCAGTATACATATACAGATACAGTAAAATCTGGTTTAAGATGTTCCCAAATGAGATGTTTTCCCACCTAAGTTGTCCAAATTCCGTGGTCTCATTATTTGCCCATTATAAGACGTGTTTAAAATTCCAGCATAAGATATTCCTGCACGAGATGTTACAAAATATCAGTCTCTGAAGCAATTTTTACCTGCTTAAAATGATCATGATCAGTGGTATTTTTCTCTGCATCCTCTAGTCTTGACAGAAGAGCATTGTAATGTTCAGTATTACTGACATTGGGAATTAATACTGAAATTTATAAACTTAATTAATTTAATGGCTCAATGATAACAAACTTTGAAATTGAAATTGTCAAAATTTAATTACAAATAAATTTCATTAAATTTGATTCCTGCCTATTTAATGTTCAGAAATTGAAATTATACTTTTGATTTTCTGACAAATTTTGTATTTGAATTTGAAAATTACTCCTTTCCAAAATTTTAAATTTCTTGCTGTGATTGGTTTAAAAAAAATCTCTTGACTAACAGTGATTTTAAAAACAGTATAAATAGGTTGTTTTCATTTGGTATCTCTACCTTCCAACAAAGTTCTACATCTTTTATCATATTGTAAGTATACAGTATACAGTATTACACCATATTGGCCTAAATATTACACAATGTTTTTCTTAGACTATTACATTTTAGTAGGCTGCACTAAAAACAAGAAAGATACTATAGACCAGTACTTTAATAAAGCTGTAGCTATTACATTTCATTGTAACCACTTATAAAATCAAATATCTAGATTACAAAAATTTTTTGCCATTTCCATTTAAGACATTTTCAAAAATGTCTTAACAGGTTTTACTGTACACAAATTTTCAAGAACTTTGTAAATGCTGTAAATATGTTTCTTCTTCTGCTATATTATTAAAAAAGCTGGCAACAATGTCGCTGAACTTTTCAGACATTCTTTACTTGTGTTCGTCCTTAATAATTGCTATTGTTACCTTTAAATCTTCAGATTTACATAAAATTTCTAATATGATGGCGTACTCAAAGTGGGGATAATTTAGCCATTAAATATCTTTAAAATATTACCCTCTCCCACCTCTCCTTGAGATCTTTTGGTCTAATTTGAATGAAAATTATGATTAATAACAGAAAAGAAAATATTTATCTCAGAGAATTTCATAAAAAATAATAATTTTTATATTTTTTTCACTCACCCAGACCTAAAGTTCAAGGTGAGAAAATATTAATTTCTTAAAACTATGTAATTAATATATTGAAAAAAGTAGAATTCAGTTGATTTATTCTATCAAAAGTTATAAAAAGAACCACTAAAAATGTTAATATCAGAAGTGTAATAGTTTTTGAAAAAATTTTTGAAACACATATATTTAATTTTTGATAAACTAAAAATTCGTACAATTAAAAAAATAAAAAATCATAACTTGGAGACTTTTTGAGATATGGCCCCCACTTCCTTAATATCTCCCAAACCAATGATCTGATTTTCCTGAAAATTTCTAGGAATATTTTTCCCTATACACAAACCTCCCTGTAAAATTTCAGAAATTTTTGAAAAATGTACAGGAATTGTTAAACATCAAATTGGATGAAAAAAATCCCTTTTTTGCATTTCCGAATGTTTCAAAGTCCTACATCCAAAAATAAAAAATCTTGGGGTCATTTTTGATTGATCACTGTACCTTTACTCTGTTATAAAACAGCCAGAAAAGTATAAATANCTTGGAGACTTATTGAGATATGGCCCCCACTTCCTTAATATCTCCCAAACCAATGATCTAATAACATTAATTTTCCTGAAAATTTCTAGGAATATTTTTCCCTATACACAAACCTCCCTGTAAAATTTCAGAAATTTTTGAAAAATGTACAGGAATTGTTACACATCAAATTGGATGAAAAAAAATCCCTTTTTTTGCATTTCCCAATGTTTCAAAGTCCTACATCCAAAAATAAAAAATCTTGGGGTCATTTTTGATTGATCACTGTACCTTTACTCTGTTATAAAACAGCCAGAAAAGTATAAGTAATGTGAGTTTTTCGAC